AATCTCCCACAACTATCCAGGGCAACTGGAGTGATGACAGAAAAGCTCCTAGCTTCGAGAAGCGTGCGATATTGTCGTCGGTCATGCCGACCGAAGTGAAACCGTAGAATGTAATGATCACGATCGAGTAGCCTGACATGTGCATAACTACTGCCGTGAAGCCGTCGGTGGCCGACTGGCCGTCAAACTGATACTCTGGCAAATTCAGCTGGGGGGCAAGTGAGTGCACCTGGTAGTGTCCAGGGGCCAAAATCCACTCGCCTCCCTCAGTGGCTCTCTCGAATCCTCGTGCAGTCGTGGACTTGCCTGTAGCCCGAGCTGGGTTGGCAACTAATCTGAGACAAGACTGACGGGACTTCTTTGTCCACTCACGCAAGGCAGTGCGGGAAACGTGCGTCTCCACAAAACAAAAAATCTGATGGATGTCATTCTCACGAGCCCTACGGACGAAGTTCCACACTTGCTCCCCCATGGCGGTAACGTTGCCAAACAGAAGCTGCGTATACTTGTCATCGCTCGTGCAATTCGATGCCACCCCTAGTCAAGATGACGCAGGGGTCGGGTCCTCCGACAGATGCTGCTGGGACTGGAACTTGGCGGCTGAGAGCTTGGCTGCCTCAGCGCGAACTCGCTCTGCATGGACATCTGCTGGAGCCGCACCTGCGGCCGCACCCTCAGGCGCCTGCGGCGCTGCCGCCGCCGCTGCCTGGCTGCCGCTGCCGCTGCCTCCACTGGCTGCGGGCGCGGCCTCGCCTGGCTGCGGCGCTGCGGGGGGGTGCGGCCTGGCCCTCGGCCGTGCGCCTCTTCTTCATGAGGCGGTCCTTGATGGCCTGGCGCATGTCCTGGGCGTTCTTGAGCATCATGGTGACCTCATCAGCCTTGCCATCGAGGGTGGTCTTGGCCGACTGCAGCTCGCTATGAATCTTCCTCAAGGTCTCCTTCTCGGAGTCCTCGCATTCCAACTCGTCAAGATTGTCGAACAGCGTGTGGTCGTACACTAGCTCGAAGGGCTTGCCACACTTGTCGTCGGCCATCCCCTCTGGCTTGGGCACAACCCCCTCAGCCGCTGCCAGTGCACGCGCGGCCTGCTGCTTCACGATGGTCGCCTCCGCCAGCTCCTCGGCAAGACGACGCTCCTTGAGCTTTGCTGCTTCTAATTGCCGACGAATGCGAAGGACTGACTGCTCTGATTGGGTATGGCGGTTGTTGGCATCCCTCCAAGCACTGTCAGCCCTCTGAAGAGACGGAAGCGCATCCTTGGGTTGCATGTGTTGTGCCTCCTCGCGCTTGAGCTGGGCGACCTGCTGCATCAAAGCCTCCTTCAGCTTGGGATCCTGCGCGGCAGCGATCGCCTGCTCTAGGAGGGTGCGGGCTGATGATTCACCAGCCTGTCCACGCGCCCCCTTGCTCGTCTTGGAGCTGCGGGGCGTGGACCGGTTACTACCTGCATCACTATCCTTACTATCCTTGGCGAAGCTCACGTTCTTGATGATACCCTTCGGCGGCGCGCTGGGACTCTTGGGCCTCAGCACGTAGAGCTTCACCTTGCGTCCACAGCGGGCGCACTTACGATCGCGCTGCTCGAGTCTGTCGTTGTATTCACACTGCCCACACGAGCGGCATGTCGACCATGGCGCCGTGGATGCTGGAAACTTCGGATTTCGTCACCACTCTATCACGGGAGAGACGGGCAGATCTTCAGCCCGAGAGAAGTGGTGTGCCCCAAGCACCACGGGGAGGTACCGAGGCTGGGTTCGGAGCGAGAAACTGCCCTACGCACGGGGGCGAGGGACTTGCGCTCGAGCCCAGATTGCTTGAGCCAAATGGCTACGGAGGGGAGGAGGAAGAGGAGGAGGAGGTTGAGGAGGAGGGGGAGGAGGAGGAGGAGGAGGAGGAGGAGGTCGAGGCCGAGGCCGAGGACGAGGAGGAGGAGGAGGGGGAGGAGGAAGAGGGGGAGGAGGGGGAGGAGGAGGGAGGAGGAGGAGGAGGAGGAGGAGGAGGAAGTGGAGGAAAAGGTGGGGGAGGTGGATAAGGGAGGAGGAGGAGGGGGCGGAGGGGGAGGAGGATGAGGAGAAGAATCATACTACTAGCATTATGAATAAGACGATTATGTTTACGATGAAGAATCAGGCGCATGAGACGACAACGCAGACTAACAACACGAATACTGATATTACTTAAAATATTACTAATGATACTGAACATGATGATAGTATGATTACTGCAATTCTGATAAATACTACGAATAAAAAAGACACCCCATACGACAACTAACAAGAAGTATACGGCACAGATCACGCATACTAATACTATGGCTACTCATATACGAGTAATATGTTTTTTTCGTTTAGTACGAATAGTACGACTAATACGAACAGCATGGGTAATACTAAACATGCGACGAGCCATACTAATAATAATAAAAAAAGGCTACGCATACGAATACAATTAGTACGACGAGGAACAATACTACTATGACGAATGCTATTAATACTGCTGCGAATGCTACTAATGAGGGGGGTACGAAGAATACTAATACTAAGACTGACCATGGTCATACTACTATTAACAAGCATAATACGATGACGAATGGCACGAATAATAATACTACTTCTCATGCGAATGGCAAGAAGACGATGGTTGATACGTATGAGAAGACGGGTCATACTAAGAAGCATAGCGATACTAAGAAACACACCGATACTCATAATAATACGAAGGCGACGACGAGGAGGAGGAGGAGGTGGAGGAGGAGGAGGATGGGGGTGGGCGAGGAGGATGAGGAGGAGGAGGAGGGCGAGGAGGAGGAGGAGGAGGAGGAGGAGGAGGAGGAGGACGGGAGGAGGGGGGAGGAGGAGGAGGGGGAGGCGGAGGATGAGGATGAGGAGAAGGAGGAGGAGGAGGAGGAGGAACACGACATTCCACAGGGGTGGGGGCCCTCGTCCCCGTTCTCCTGGGGGGGGGGGTCCTGTTTGGGGCCGTTCCTGAGCCTCTGGGTCTTCAGGGCGCTCGCTCGCCGTCTTGCTGGGCGTGCGCACTGTATTGGTTATGGACCTTGGGGAGGGCGCGGCCAGGGCTGGCGAAGGCGTCCTCTTGCGTGGGTGGCATTAGGTTTGGGCCCGTCGATAAGAGACGGGGGGGACGGGGGACGAGGGGGGGGGGATGACGGGAGGGTGCGGAGTCGGAGGTGGAAGCGGAGGAGGATGAGGAGTCAGTGATGGGGGAGGAGGGAGGGAGAGACAGGGAGGAGGACGTGGGGGATGTGACGGCGGATGGATGAGGGTGAATAGCAATCACAGGGGAAGACGTCGGAGGAGGAGGGGGTGATGATGATGATGATGATGATGATGATGATGATGATGATGATGATGATGATGATGATGATGATGATGATGATGATGATGATGATATTGGCCAATGATTATGATGGTTATGCTGTTGAAGACGACGATGATGATGCTGATGATGATGAAGATGAAGATTAGGATGTGGATGCGGATGCGGATGCGGATGCTGATGCTGATGATTGTGTTGATGCTGATGCTGGTTATGATGATGGTAATGGTGATGGTGACGGTAATACTGTAAGGGTCATGGTGATGTTGATGGTGGTGATCAGGATGCAGTTGTTGTTGATGTTGATGTGGAGGATGATGCTGATGTTGTTGATGAGCATGGTGATGTTGATGCTGACGGTGATGCTGGTTGATGAGCATGATGCTGTTGATGCTGACGGTGATGATGATGCTGATGTTGACGGTGATGTTGTTGATGAGGATGATGCTGATGATGTTGACGAGCATGATGATGTTGATGAGCAGGATGTTGAGATTGATGATGTCGATGAGCATGATGATGTTGCTGATGGTGGGGATGGTGATGATGATGATGCGGATGCGGATTCGGGTGTTGATGCGGATTCTGATGCTGACGCTGATACTTCTCATGCTGCTGCTGCTGACATTGATGATGATGATTCGGATGATGGTTTTGATGATGGTGATGATGATGCTGCTGATGCTGATGCTGATGCTGATGATAAAGCAGTGATGAAACGAAGCATCCTGGCGTGCCTTTCGGCCTACCAAACAATGTTCTAAGGACCTGTTGTGGCTTCCACGGAATGTTCTTAGACCATCTCTTGCCGAGACTGTCTTGTTTTACACATCGGGTTTATGTTCGAAGACCATTGCGTTTGCTCTTAGAACATTTGCGGGTTCTCAGAACATGTCGTGGTAGGCCGATCGAAATGCCGGGACGGTCGGTCCCTGCTCGAGATGATGATGTTGTTGATGATGATAAGTATGATGGTGATGATGGTGATGATTATGATGATGATGTTGATGTTGATGCTGATGCTGATGCTGCTGATGATTATGTTGATGCTGATGATGATGCTGATGATGCTGATTCTGATGATGATGATGATGATGCTGATGATGATGATGATGGTGGTGGTGGTGATGATGATGGTGATGATGGTGGTGGTTGTTGTTGTGGTGGCGGTGGCGGCCGACGACCTCCAAGGAGTAGGAAGAGGAGGATGAGGAGGACGAGGAGGCGGAGGATGAGCTCAGGAGCAAGGGAAGGGTTGCGGTTGTGATAATGATGGAACTTGTGATGATGGTGGCGGTGATGATGACAATGATGTTGTTGATAGTGCTGATGGTGATAATGATGATTATGATGTTGATGTTGTTCATGACGCTGATTATGTTGATGATGCCGATCCTGATGCTGTTGCTGATGATGGTGATGATGATGATGATGGGACGAGGCGGAGGATGGGAGGAGGCGGATGATGATGATGATGATGATGATGATGATGATGATGATGATGATGATGAGGCCTCCACTTCTCTCCTTCTCTCGGCTTGCGAACAGGCAGAGAGCGTGGTGTCCCATGCAATGGCTCCTCGCGGCATGGTGCGGTGGGCAGACGCGCCGCCGACTCGGCGTGCCCGCGCGTGCGCCGCACGGCGCGTCGCCGCGCAGCGTGGATGTGCAAGTGCAGGCCAGGGGCTTCAGCGTGGCGCGCAAGTCCGAGGACATCAATAACGAAGAGTACGCTTCGTCCTACGCGTTTCTGTCCCACGACTGGGAGGACTACGTGCCCGTGAAACACGTCAGCGTGGAGCGGAAGTCCAAGGACATAACTAACGAAGAGGACGCCTCGCTATACATGTCCCTGTCCAACGAGTGGGAGGACCCCCGGACCGGGAACCACGTCAGCGTGAAGCGCAAGTCCGTGGACACGGTCAACGAAGAGTACGGCTCGCTCGACACGTCCTTGTTCAAACGACAACCTGGCCGTGAAACACTTCAGCATGGAGCGGAAGTCCGAGCTCCCGACTAACGAAGAGTACGCCTCGACACGTTCCTGTCCAACAACTGGGGGGACTACCTGGCCGTGAGACACTTCAGCACTGAGCGGAAGCCTGAGGACATAACTCACGAAGAGTACACCCCGATCTACACGTTCATCGACGCTGTGAATTCCAACGGCGTGCTCAACGAAGAGGGGGGCGAAGGTGGAGCCCGTCCCACTGGCCTTGAGCCTCGTACCCATTTTGGCTCAAACCAGCCCTTCTCCCAAGATATAGCTCGGATTTCGGACATATCCAACGACTGGGAGGGCCACCTGGCCGTGACACAATTCAGCATGGAGCGGAAGCCCGTGAACACGACCAACGAAGAGTACGCCTCGATCTACACGTCCCCGTCCAACGACTGGGAGGACTACTTGGCCGCGCAACACTTCAGCATCGAGCGGAAGCCTAAAGACCTGACCCACGAAGAGTACACACCGATCTACACGTTCCTGTCCAACGACTGGGAGGATTACCTGGCCGTGAAACACCTCAGCGTGGAGCGGAAGTCCGAGAACACATTCCTGTCCAACGGCTGGGAGGACCACGTGGCCGCGAAACACTTCAGCGTGGAGCGGAAGGCCGAGGACATGACAAACGACGAGTGCTCTCCGTCTCTGTCCAACGACTGGGAGGACCACATGGCCGTGAAACACTTCAGCGTGGAGCGGAAGTCCGAGGACATGACCAACGAAGAGTACGCTATGCACTACACGTCCATGTCCAACGACTGGGAGGGCTCCCTGGCCGTGCAACATCTCAGCGTGAAGAGCCAGTCCGAGGACATGACTAACGAAGAGTACGCGCTGTCCTACACGTCCCTGCCCTCGGGAGGACTCCTTGGCCGCGAAACAGTGGCCGAGGCCACCACTGAATGAGCCTATGGCTGTTTTTTTTCTTCGTTTCACTGCTGACTATGTTTCCTGTTCCTCCTCCACCTCCTCCCGCTCGAGCATCTTGCCTCATCCGCGCTGTGGCTCCGAAGCTTAATGGGCAACGCGGCGTACCCCGTGCGTGCAGCACCCCACACAGCACCGCCGTGAGGCTAATGGGGAATGAGTGCATTCGCCTTACCATGCGTAGGGACTCGGATTTTTTCTTTAATTGCCCACCCCTCGCGCGGTTCTAGACACGATGCCTCGTTCCCTGCGCCGAGCCACCCTATTGGCTCGAACATTTTCTTTATGCAGGGCGAAATTTATCCCTGCTTATTGGCTCTGATGGCGAGGAGAAAATGATGATGATGATGATGATGATGATGATGATGATGATGTTGATGATGATGATGATGGGAGGGTTGACAGCAGGATCTGGAGAAGATGGTGGGGGGATGGGGGGAAGAGCATGGAGCGGAGAACTGCCAGCTAAGGAAGATTCGGCGGGGTAGGGGGGGGGCGACGGATGGAGGAGGAGGAAGATGACAAAGAGCGCGGAGATAGGCACTCCTCCTCCTCCGCCTCCTCCTCCCCGTCTAAATTCCAGTACCTCGCTGCGGCTTCTGTGCTTCGGTACCGTCGGGAAGACAAAGGACGAAGAGGGACGTGCGATGAGGAACAGTGGATTCCTGGAGGTTCTGGGGCATCACGGAAGGCCAGGAGGTGAGGTTTTGGGGGTCAGGTGTGGACCCATGTGGAGGGGAAGGGGGGGAGGGCAAGTTGGGTGCGCTCGTGCCACATCAGACTTCCTACCCCTATCTCCCATCTATGTCCATTGCGTAGAGCCTCATTTATTCTAGAGTCGAAGGGGAGCAGGGAGAGGAAGGATGAGTCAGAGGATCAAGAACCGGAAGGGGGAGGGGAGCAGGAAGGCGTGGAGGGCGACGATTGGGAAGGGGCGGGATCGTAGGACGATGTCAAGGACGACAACGGGGATGTGATCTTTCCGTTGGATGGAGGCCGATTCCGGAATACAGCCATCGTTGTGACACGATCGCCTTTGCTTTGGACAGAAGAGATCATTGCAAATGAACATCCGTTGCAAAAGCTGTTGCGGAGTCACCGCTGACACTGATGCGCAAAATACGGCCAGCGCTATTGCGAGAGCCTTCGTTCCGTTGGGCGAATGTTTTCTCGATCGTTGCAGTGGGCGTATCACTTCTCGAAGGCCGACGCGTTCTGAATTGACACAACAATCGAAAGCCATCTCGGGATAAGCCTGGTGTGCAATAACAGGGTACGAGGTAAGTAGGCGCAACTGCAGAGCATCAGGGGAAAGCGGAGAGTAGTACGGTTTAGTGGTGTAGGCGGGAATCGACGGGGGAGGACGCGGTGCAGCACGGTGCAGGGCACCATCAACGCTTGGACGCGCCTGGGGCGCAACAAGGGGGTAGGCCCGGACGGCCTTCCTGCCGAGTTTCTCGTGGCTGCTGCCCCAGTGATGGCACCGTTCGCCACCGAGCTGTACAACGACGTGATCAAGTACGAGCGTTGGCCTGTCTCGTGGACTGGCGGACGCATGCAGGACATCTTTAAGAACAAGGGGGATCGTGCTGTCTGTGACGACTCGCGGGGCATCATCCTCGAAGATCACCTGGCCAAAGGGCTGAAACAGCACTTGGCCCAGTCCGTGATGCCTGCGTACACGGCTCACCAGCCTCCAGCGCAGCATGGGGCAGTGCATGGACGTAGCACGGACTTCGCGACGCATTTTGTTCGCGAGGCTCTGGAATACGCTGCTTCCGCCCGCCTGTGCATCTTTGTTTTGTTCATGGACCTTGTGAAGGCGTTCGACCGGATCGTCAGGGAGGTCACCCTGGGATGGCCGGCCGGAGCCGATGATCCTCGCGCGTACCTCGCATCCCTTGGGCTCCAGCCGCGCCAGGCGGATTGGATTGCCACGTTTGTAGCTGTGCATGGGTGCCTTTTGGAAGAGTGGGGCGTGCCCCGCAAGGTTGTGCGCCTGTTGAAGAACATGCACGCGCAATCTTGGTTCAGCTACGGGGATGTGGACGAGGCGGTGGCGACCCGGGTTGGGGGGGGCAAGGTTGCAAGTACGGAGCTTGCATTTTTAACTCCACGTGTAGCGTCGCATTGCACATGATTTTCGATGTGCTCCAGGAGGCAGGGATCGTGCTGTCGTTGGCCAGCGACTCCCTGCCACCGTGGACGCAAGCGGCCCCGAGTGCAGTAGGTGAGCACGGGCGCCAGCCTGCACTTGATGCAGCGCTCGTGGATGATACCGTGTTTCTCTTGCTCACCCGCTCTCCTAAGGCTCTTGATTCTGCCATCGACGAGTAAAAACCTTGCGCTGTGCGCAAATTGCGCACAGTGCAGGGTTTTTACTTTTGTTTTGAATCTTGAAATTACTTGGAGCCCTGGGAAGACGGAGACGATCCTCCAGTACAGGGGTGATGGTGCCGCGGCGCGCCTGAGAGCTCGCAGACCGAGCCCGGGCGCCTCTCCACTCATCCTGGTGCCTGGTTCGTCTGATGTGCTTCACATTGTGAATGAAGACAAGCACCTCGGAGGTGAAATCTCCCTCTCTGGATCGATCGTGCCGCTCGCTCACGGTCGACGAAGCGAGCCTTGGCCGCGTACGCGTCGCTCGCGGTTCAGGTTTTCGGGTCCTCGCAAATGTCGCTGGACATTCGGCAATGGATGTTCCAGACTCTAGTCATGTCCAGGTTGTTGTATAATCTCCATGTTGTTGTACCGACCAAGTAACTTCTCACGGTTTTGAGCGATGTGTACATGCGTGGCATGCGCCGCATGCGCGACGCCATGCGTACAGGTGGCCCGTGTGAGAGCGATCTTGAACTCCGCACTCGAGTCCGGGTGTCATCTTTAGATTGCGTGCTCATGCGGGAACGTTTGTAAGACCTAGCACGAATGCTGCGGGCGCAACCTCCCGCTGTGTTAGGTCTTCTTCGGCAGCGCCCCCGTGAGAGCCGATCGGAATGGCTTCGCTTGGTCTGAGAAGATATGAACCGCATTCGGTATCTTGCCGCCCAGTGTGGCCCACTGCCCGATCCTGACTTGGACCCGGCAGCGTGGACCGACTTCATCGTTTCAGACCTGTTGAAATGGAATCAATGCGTGGCGCTCGTGCATTTCACCGGTTCGATTTGCGACGTTCGGGCAGCCAGCCTGGACGACGATGCTGCGATTCGGAATTTCCGATGCGATGCTTGCGGCGTGGCTTTCCACACCCACAAGCAGCTCGCACAGCACCGCCAGATAAAACACGGCGAGAAGTGCCGTCAGAGATTTTACGCTGCAGCGAGCGGCACCTACCCAGTCTGCCAGACTGTGTTTGGTACTCGCGTTGCCCTGCTCAGCCACCTCTGCGACTCCCGTAGTCGGAAGCGCTGGGTGGAAATCTGCAAGCATCCTGGCCGGTTTGCGCAGCTTCCGGTTGAGGAGGTTGCAGTTCTCGACGCTCGCGACAACGAAGCTCGAAAAGGGGCTCTTCGTCGAGGGCCCTTGCACGCGCTGGCCACTGGCGGGTGCGTGCGAGCTGATGGGAAACCGATCTGCCGGCCGACAACTTAGTTGTACGGCGTCCAGGAGGCTGCACTGTCCTTGAAGTTTCTTGCGGCGCCCAGCGCAACCCTCGGGAACAAAAAAATGTTTCTCTTCCCTCCTTCATCCGTTCCCTTGTCACTGAAGGCCAGTCGGGGCACACATACAGTCAACCCGCATACTAAGGATGGGCAACCTTCCCAAGGGTACTTTTGCATCCTTGCCTCCTCGGTCCATCCTTGGTCACTTCTGTTGGCCGCGCCCCCGCTCGGGAATTTTCGAAGTGGGCGTCCAAGGCCCTTGCATCCTTATCGCGCATCCTTATTATACAAGTGGCACGTGTGTGCCCAGGATCATACAAACAACTGAAAGGTTGCGAGGATGTCCATGGAGGCTTCAGCAGGCCCGACCAGGAGGCCGCAAGAGGCTCCAGGAGGCCGAAGGAGAGTACGTATGGGCTCGAAGTTGCGAGGATGTCCATGAGGGCCGCAAGAGGCTCCAGGAGGCCCGACCAAGAGACCGCAGGCCAAGGAGGCCTCAGGAAGCCCCAGGAGGTTCCAGGAGGCCCCCAGGAGGCTCCGAGGCAGGGTCTGGGGTATCAGAAGGTACGTCGGGGTTCGATTTTCGGAGGATGTCTTAGGCGAAACCGCCATTCTTTGAGAATCGGAGTCCAACTCACTGAACTTACACTGTGTGTTTGAAGGTTTTATGTTAGAATGTTGAAATTCCCATGTGTTTTTGGACCCTGGCGTCACGATCTGGGTGAGGGGTGCCACCGATTATCAGAAGTTCGAGGATGTCCCTGGCGAAGCGGCCAGAAAAATCGCGGACGCGGCGCGTCCTTTAACTAATCATTTCTGAGCTCTACTCCTCCGGAGACGTGCGTATGAGAACGAGCCGACTGCATTGCCGTCTTTACTTTCTCGTCGGCCCCCGCTTCTGGAGGGCCCCCTCTGGTTTCTCCCAGGGAGGCACAACGCAGGACGGTTGGCGATTCCAGAACACGGAAAGGGGGTGGGTGCAAACGGGTATGGCCAACCGCGGTTGTCTGTGATCTTTCGCGCTTCGTATTGCGCAGATCACTCACGCGCCCCCTTTCCACGGCATGACAGTCAACACTTGGGATAGGGTTCGCTTCGGTTTCCGAATGGGCTCGATTGTTTTTTGGATCCTTGAAGTGTTTTCGTTCTAGCGCTCGTCGCGCATCTAGGTGCGACTGATGCCCCGATGGGGGCCTCGTTCCTTATCCGAGTTCCTTGGATAACTCTGACTGGTGTCCCTGGAGTGTGTTTCGGGAACTCGGAATTCGTAACAAACACCCCAGGACCGTTTTTGAATGTTTGGCTTGTGAACGAGACTTCGATTGAAATACCATCGTGGAGCCAATGCTCATCATGTTGGTCATTGTTTGATGTGCTTGCAGTAGGTATCCAGACATGCAAGTCGGAGTTCAAGTACATGTTTCCCGGGTTATGTACGACCATTTGTTCAAGCATCGACAAATACCTATTGGTATTGACCCCCTTTTCAATCTTTCCGCCTCAGCGTGGTGAACACCCCCTGTTTCCCCTCACCTCCCCCTTCGACCTGTTCTTGCGCAAACTCTGTTTACCCCCTCCCCTCCCCTCCTTCGACGACGAAGGCGGCGGCGGTGGCCACGACGTCGACGACGACCATGGCTCGGGGGAGCGTAAGACCCGGGTTTGCCAGGACTCGGGTTCGCCATCGTTTTTTGACGACCGCGCCTCAGATTTTGACGAGGAGAAGTTTCGTGGGATGTCTGCAGCGGGAGGCCTCGTCAAAATGCAGGCTCGGCCTCGTCATTTTTTTGACGACCTCGTCGGGGATTTCCGAGTCCCCTGTACCCAGGTCTTACGTCCCCCTGAATGGCGTCAGCGGCGGGAGCCTCTCCCTTGGGAGGTGCGTTTCGGCAAACACTGCGAGGCGGATCCAGCCGTGCCGACGAGGGAACGACGTCGACTGGCGACGGCTGCGGCCAGAGGCGCTCGGATGCCCTCTGAGGGCCTCCGAGGGCCTCCTGCTGCCTCTGCGGGTGGCCCCCGAGGACCGCCGAGGGCCCATGGGCATGCGAGGAGCCTCTGAGGGCCTCCGATGGCCGCCTGGGACCTCCCCCGAGGTCCGACGCCAGAGCTCACAACATCGCAAGAGATGACGACCAGAGCCAGCGACCTCATTTTTTGCCACGCTTCACGAGCCGGGCCGATGCGCGGAGGGTCCCAGGGCCCAGAATTGGGCGAGATGACGGCACGTTTCGCGCGGGGGGTGTGCGCAAGGCCGCCCAGTATCTCCGCAGGGCCGCGGCCGAGGAGTTTGGACCGCGAGGCCGTGGATGCGGACACGGATCCCAGATCCCCAGACGTCCGACGATGCCGGAGCCAACCTGCCCCAGGGCCGTGTCTTGCAGACGCGGCGGCGAGCCCAGCGCAGGCGTCCAAGGGGGGCTTGGGATCGACCGACATCGAGCGATCTGCGCCATCGGTGAGCCGCGATCGCTCAAGGCTGAACCGCGGAACGACCCACCCATATCCCCGACGTCATGATTGTTTCGCAACGTCGACCCCCAGAGGTTTCGGCCCCATCCCCGCGATCGGCTTTCCAGAGGTCGAAAACAGCCAAGAATCAGCCGTCGCGTTTGTCTTTGCGTCGCCTGGATGGGTGGGGTCGCATAAACCAACGCAGGGCTCGCCACGAAACGAGCCTGCTGTGTTAGGATCCAGCTCGTGGGAGGTCAAATGCAGCGTCGGCGCTGTTATACTCGAGGTCGACGACGGGCCGAACCCCACCGAAGTCCGTTCAATCCTGCTAAGCCCGGCTTGAGGTGTGGCTTACTTTGTCCTAATCCAACGCGGCGGCCCCTATAATCGGACTGTGCAGCCCTTGGATCGCTCTCACGAAGAGTTCCCCAGAGTTTCTCGTGAGCGAAAACGTGTCCGTATCCGCGGCACTGCGGGCCGGGCCCCGTGGCCGCAACCCCGCGGATACGGGGCGTTCTGCGCGGGTGCCCCGCGCGGAGCGGGTCCGTGCGACGGCGTATCCGTGGGATCGCCCCCCCCCAGAGCCCAGCATGCGAGGGCGTGGATGTGGATACGTTCGCTGCTCGTGGGGTGCCTCCCGAAATCCAACGCAGACGCCGCCTCGACGCCAGCCTCCTTTGCGCTCCCCCGGCCGCCCGCGAGAGATCGGCGGCGAGCGAGGGGGGCAGCGAGAATGATCAGGCCTGCTCAGAAGGCGGCGGGGCTTCTCGGAAGGTCTCGCGCTTTCTGAGAAGTGTTTTGTGTCGTCAGGGAAGGCCTAGAATACTTCTCAGAAGGCCCGAGGCCTTCCGAGCCTTCTGAGAAGGCCCGCCCCTTCTCAGACGCCTGGTGGTTTTTGGGTCATACCTCGGCTCTCCAGTGGCCGTTCGGGGCGATCCCGGCACCCCTGGAACGCCCTCGGCGAGGCGCAGCCTCTGGAACGCACCCCGAGGCCGGAAAACAGCCGAGAACTGACGACGAGACCCTCGAACCTCGAACTTCTCCGTCGGGCTCGCCGCCGAAGAGAGGTCCCTGGCGCTTCCCTGCGCCGCCGCGCTGTGGCTGCTGGCCGCCCAGGGCCCCTCGTGGATGTGCGGCTGGGCCTCGCCGCGCTCCCGGGCGCCACCTCCGCCGCCCGCGGCCGGCCGGCCGCCGTCGCCCGCCACGCCGCCGGGTGTTAGGGGCCACGTTGCGGGGGCTCCTCGGTCATCCCCTCCCCTGCACTCCTGACATTTCTTCGCCTTTCGGTTGTCCCGTTCAGCCTCGCGTTGGTGCGGACTGCCTCTGCCTCGCCGCCGACGAAACAAGTCATCCCCTCCCCCTCTCCTTTCTCCTCTACGTCGCCTGCCCCGACGTGCGCGACCCTCCTCTGTACTCCAGCAAGCCCGCGGCGCCGCGTGCGCCAGGGGGCGCGTTTTCCAGCCCACGCCGATGTCGCTCCTGGTTGTCGCCGCCGCCCAGCAACGGGTCAGGGCGTGCTGCGGTAGCGTGGAGCGTTTTCACGGGCAACAATAGGGAGAGATGGGCATAGGGGGGATGCATCGACCCCCAATCGCCCATTGATCGCCAGTAGGGGCCCGACAGCCCACCCCACCCAGGACCGTGCGGATTCGCTACCGGGGGCGTGTCGACGATCTATCGGCGATGTATCGCCGATTCCAGGTTGATGTTCCCCCTCATGAGCCAGTCGCCCCCCCCTATCGTTGCCCCTCAAAGTCTTCGGCGTGGAGATAACGATGCCGCTGCTCGTCCTGAAGATCCCTCGTCGCCACGGCCAGATTATCTTCGAAATCCCGGCCAGAACGCACACAGGGAGAGGTCCGTGGAGTGGCGGTCTCGGTACCGTTCGTTCTTTCGGAGCTCCGCGCGGATTTCTCTGATCGGCGCTGGGTCCCGAAGAAAAGCGCGCGGATCTCCGATGGTTTATGTTGATGCAGTTATCGTTGCTCTAGCCATGCCGCCAAGTGGGAGATCCTGCCGTGAAGTAAAGAGGTTCTGAGGTAAAACGTGTCTTGTTTTTTTGAGGCGGCTAAAGGCCCTCCACAGGCCGGGTGCCGTCCAACAACGGATCGGGATGTGAAGTTGGTTCTGGGGAAAATCCTGGGGCTCAGAACTTGTTTCTCTGGACCCCCTCCGTTCATGCAAGACGTGCCAGGCCTTCATTGTTAAATGAGCAGAAGTCAGCGCAGAGGTTGTTCGCAAGTCTGTGCCCCCGGGGGTCGATGTCGGGCCCAAGGGCCGTCAGAGAAGTGGCTCGGTATGAACAACCAGCCCCACGGAACGGTTCGGGATTTCTTCGGTAGCGGCCAAGAGGGGGGTGATGACCAGGGGGGTTGGATATCGCTGCCAGGGACATGATATCATCTAGGTTTCGTGGCCGCCTCTTCTTATCCGTAAGGGCTTCGCCCCCTGCCGCCGGCCCCCTCTCTCGGAGAATGGGCCATGGAAGAGCTAAGTCATGAGGCTTTGGCGCTGTCGTGCAGCAGTATCGGAACTTCATGCGAGGCCGATTCGCAATCGGCAAAACCAACTGATCACAAGAGGGGTTACCACACAGGGCGATTGGTAAGACGTGTATGGTTTACGAGCTTGCTTACCACACCTTGGGATTAAAGGGCCGAGGGAGTACTCGCAGTTTGGGTTACCACGCCTTGCGATGGATGTGCGTGAGGGGTGGCACCGAATTTCAGAAATGTGGCAAATCCCCTGTGTTTTTGGACCCTGACCCCGCGGATCTGCGTGAGGGGTGGCACCGAATTTCAGAAATGTGGCAAATCCCATGTGTTTTTGGACCCTGACCCCGCGGATCTGCGTGAGGGTGGCACCGAATTTCAGAAATGTGGCAAATCCCATGTGTTTTTGGACCCTGACCCCGCGGATCTGCGTGAGGGGTGGCACCGAATTTCAGAAATGTGGCAAATCCCCTGTGTTTTTGGACCCTGACCCCGCGGATCTGCGTGAGGGGTGGCACCGAATTTCAGAAATGTGGCAAATCCCTTGTGTTTTTGGACCCTGACCCCGCGGATCTGCGTGAGGGGTGGCACCGAATTTCAGAAATGTGGCAAATCCCTGTGTTTTTGGACCCTGACCCCGCGGATCTGCGTGAGGGGTGGCACCGAATTTCAGAAATGTGGCAAATCCCATGTGTTTTTGGACCCTGACCCCGCGGATCTGCGTGAGGGGTGGCACCGAATTTCAGAAGGACCCTGACCCCGCGGATCTGCGTGAGGGGTGTCGATTTCGAGCCCCCCCAGCAATTCAGACAACGCGCCCAGGGGGTGCTAAAAATTCCGTTTGGGCCTCCCCCCCCTCGCGCGGTCAATCAACGAGTTACAGTAACCAGCAAGAAGCAGAACTGTAACACTGGAAACTACAACCTAAAGTTGTTACAGGAAACTGCGAACCTCGCGCCTACAGCCTGGTGGCCCCACAAGGGGGCCAGCGGATTTCAATGCCTCCACTGGCCCCTCGCTTGGCCGCGCACGTGCCTCGGGCCCTGCTTTGCGACCCCCCTTCTTTCAGGAGCGGACGAAGGACGTACACGTACATGAAAACACGTTGGTTTCGAGAGTACGTAGCACCCCGCAATTGCGGATAGTAGTGAGGGGGCGGGCGCGGGCGACGCGGGCGTCGAGCCGGCCGACCTCGTGGCCCTCACCTTCCCTGTCGATGGCGCCCTCCTCCTCCTGCTCCTCCTCCTCCTCTTCCTCGTCCGCGTCCTCCTCCTCCTCCTCCTCCTCCTCCTCTTTCTCCACATTCTCCTGACATCCTTTCTTCTGCCGCGTCCTCCTCGTCCCCTGTTTACTCCTCTGCCTCGCCCTTCTATCTCAAGATAACGGCAAACCAATCCTATGTTCCACTGAATGCTCCCCGACTTCTCTGATCCAGGCAATTCGCCAGGGTAAAGTTGCTGGATGGGTTGGTGTGGATGAGCGGAGCTTGGAGAGGTCTTGGGGGGCTCAGACGGCATGCAAAATCCGCCGCTGCGCTTGTGCGGCGCTGGCGTGCTGTGTGGTAGGGTTCGTGGACGCGCCCCTCAGGAGGGTCCTTGGGTGCTCCGAGGCCCCTTAAGTGTGGGCGCCTTGAGGCAGCTCCCCCTGAACCCAGGCTTTGGGCACGGATGTCGGATTGCAGCAGGCAGCTGGGGTGTCAATGAACGTGTTCAGACACAGCCCCGCCGCAGGCGCCGATGTGCTGTTGTAGAGTCAGCGTGGGCCGGATCGGGGGAATGGCACGAGGGCGCTTTCCCAAACCAATGCGAGCAAGCCCGCCGCAGGCGCCGATTTGCGTGCTCTGACATGTTCAGCGCGGGGGGGGTGGCGCTGGTGGGCCACCCGGAACGCATGCAAACATTGCCCGCCGCCGGCGCCGATTTTTTGGCGTCTTCAGTGAAAGTAGTTACGGTCGCGGGTGGGTCGCGGGCTCTCCACTTCCGCTTGGAAAGAAATTCAAAAACAGCCCGCCGCAGGCGCCGAACATTTTGCTTTGTACACTGAACGCGGTTTGGGTCGCAGGTTCTCCACCTGGAACGAATGCAACAGAAACCCGCCGCAAACGCCGAAATTCTGGCTTGCTCAGTGAACGTAGTTTGGGTCGCGGGTGGGTCGCGGGCTCCCCACCTCCACCTGGGAGGAATTCTGGACGCTTCGCGTATCCCCGCCAGCCTCCGTAGCCCGGCTCAGGCCGCTCTGGCTCGAGGTGCCTAGCCGGCTTGCGCGGCCGCGGCCGGGGGCCCGCCCCTGGCCTCTGGCCTCCCCGCCCGCGGGGGGAGGTCGTCCCTCCCTCCTCCCCCCCGCCCGCCGGGCCATGCCCCCGGCGGCGTCGCCTGCGGCCCGCCGCCGCCGCCAGCGGCGCGCGGACGCCAGTCGCCGCGCGGCGCCGCCCCCGGGGCTGGCGCCGCGAGCTGCCACTGACCCCTGCTGCCCGGGGCCGGCCGGCCCGCCGCCGCGCCGCCGCCGGCCCGCGCGGCCGCCGCGGCCGTGGCGGCGGCTGGCCGTGGCGACGCCGCCGCGGCCGGCTGGCGCCGTGGCTCGCGCTCGGGCCCGCCGCGGCGACCGCGGCTGCCGCGGGGGCGGCGGCCGCGGCTGTGGCCGTCGCGGCCGCTGGTGCCGCCGCGCCTTTCGAGGCGCCCTCTGCGGCCGCCGCCACCGCCGCCGCCGCGGCCGCCTCCGGCGGGCTGCTGGCGGCGGCGGCCGCCGCTGTCCCCCCCGACGACGACGCGCGGCCTGCATGGTTCATGTCCCCCCCGACGACGACGCCGACGACGACGCCACGTCCTCCCCGACGACGACGCCGCCGACGACGACGCCGCGCCCCGGGCGCTGCGAGACAGCGATCTTGCATGGGCGCGTGGGCCTGCTCGCAACGACGGGCCACATCACGCCCGAGGTCGTTGGCAAGTTTCCTGGCGAGATCTCCCCGTCTCTCGGGGTGAAGTTCGGGGCTCAAGGCCGAGATCGAGAACGGCCACCCGGCCATGATGGCGATCAGCGGGATGTCCTTCAGGACGGCCTCTCGGGCAGCGCCTGGGGCGACTGGGCGCTGTACACGGACTCCCCGCTGCGCGCCTTCGAGAGCGAACTGTGCGTGCAGGCGCTGGCGGGCTCTTGTACGACCCCATCGAGGGCCCTGTGCGACTACGAGAACGGCGGCGTCCTGGGCGTGCCCGACGGCCGTACCTCGCTTGCCGGCGAGACCAAGTCCCCCAAGCTGAACGCCGAGACCGCGAACGGAAGGCTGGCGATGATGTCGATCATTGAGATGTTCTACCAGGAGGGCCTCTCGAACAGCGCGTGGGGGACTGGGCGCCGTACACGGACCCCCCGCTGCGCTCCTTCGGGGGCGAGCTGGGCGTGCAGGCGCCAGTGTGCCTCTTGGACCCCGCCGACCTCACGAAAAATGTCGACGCCGCGGCCTTCAAGAGACGCCGCGAGACAGAGAGCAAGGATGGGCGGATGAGCACGCTCGCCACGAGGGGCTACAGCACGCCCGAGGCTGCTGGCAATTGTCCTGGCGAGATTTCCCCGTCTGTCGATGGGGAAGTTCGAGGACATCCCGAACGGTCTGGCTGCCCTCCCCACGGTGCCAGGACCAGGCTGGCTGCAGATCGTGGCGCATTG